CATGCTACGGTGTGTATACAATAAGTCGCAGTGCATAAGCCAGTTAGAACATAAAAAGCCCTCTTTGTACCACATGCAACGAAGCATAAGGACAGGCGTTATGATGTAGGGTACAATTTCTATAAAAATAAGTCACAAACTAAGATAGAAATCAAAAAAGGAAGAAGGGGAAACGAAGGAACTCATCTTTGCTCTACTAGGGCTTCAATTCCAAGAAGGTTAGAAGCATTTTGAAGCTACAAACCTTAAAAGTAAGTTTTCTAACCTCTCCTTCTCCCTTCCCAACTCATTTTTTTTATGTTTTTGGTTAGGGTTTGATAATGGGAGATGCTTTTGGTTCATGTAGATTATGGTCTTAACTCATTGACTCGAATGGAGTTAATAGGAGTTGTTTGAAATATTTAAAGAGTTTACATGTTTGGGTGGTTAAGGGTGCATTAATGGTCGAAAATGCTATTTATTATGGTAGATAAACTTTGTTAGAGAGCCATTAATGACAATATAAGAGTTTAATAAAATTGGGAGTTAAAGAGAGTTAATAAGCCAAATAGCTGGGCCTAAATATGATAAGTGAAGGCATTGGGTATTGTAGAAATGAAAATGTGAGAGCTAAAAATGTGTTTTGACAATATTAATGTGTTAGACTTGATTAGTTATAGATTAATCGTTTGGAAAGCAAGTTTGAAAGCTTATATTGAAGGGTAAACTTTTGACTTTTTAAAAGTTTGAGGTAATCGAGGAAACTTTTTTAGGTAGTTTTTTGTTAATTGAGATTTAATGTAAAATGAGTTTATTTACTTGTATGATTGAGTTTGCAAATGTAAAAGCATGCTATAAATTGTATAATAGAGTTAACCGTGAAATCAAAACTATGAGTGTTTGGTGATATGAGAAGTGTTTGAATGTGTGAAGTGTTTTAAAGGCCGACCCTAACACCTTTGGGCTAATTCTAATACTCAAAACTTTTTAAAAATATTTTCTTTATTTTCTGAACTAATTTTAATTTTTAAATAATTTTCTTAAATATAAAATATTATTTTAATTTTAAAATAAAAAATAATAACTTATTAACATTGTAATTAAGTATCTTTGTTACTGTTTTGTTGTATTATGTATAATTTAATCATGAATATTTCCTTTACTTATAAATTAATATCTTAATTGTTTAAATATTACTCTTATCATGGTCATATATAAATGTTTTATATATTTTAATTAAATTATATTATTTTAATTATGATTAAGTTGATTTCAATTCAATCATGGTTAGACTATTAACTTAAAATCATTATCCAATTAGTTTAAAGTTTTAATGACTTTTGGGTAAATTTTAATTTCTTATTTTAAAGAATATAAAAAAATAGCCATCATTATATTCTATAAAACAAAATCATTTAATTATCAGCAAAGTACTATTTTTTGAATTATTTTTTAGTTGTTTATATTGTTTAACCCCTACCCAAAAAGAGTATTTGCTTCAGTTTATTCTTAATTTTTAACCAAATCTAGCGTGAACCATAGCCAAGTAATTATCTAAAAATATTGTTTAATTTATTATGTTTATCTAATAGTAGAGCTGAAAGTTCGTACCTATCAATTTTTATTTTTAAAATTATTTTTACTTTAAAATTAAATATTTTATTTTATATTCTTTTCGTTCAAAAATGTAAGATATTTTTAATTGAATCTTACCCCATAATAAAGTAATTACCTACTTTTTAACTAATCTTATCTTTTAATATTTGTCCTTATTAAACACCCTACAATAAATATAAAATCATTATCAATAGGGTACTTTTGAAAAAAAAGGTAGTGATTACATCTCGAAAAACTAAAAATGTCTTACATTTTTTAATATCTAACTCTTCAAAAAATGCCTTATATTTTTGAACTGAGAGAGTAAAAAATATAAAATATAGTTTTTTGGATACTCAAATGATATATAGGACTCAATTTTTTTAAAAAAATTGGGTCTTAAAATATAAAAATTAATATTAAAATATATTTTAAATATTATTTTGAGATATTTTATTGATTAAAATAATAAAAATATGAAAACATAAATATTTTTTAAAAATAACTATGGTAGTATACTTAAATATATGGTATTTAATATAAAATGACATAAAATTTAAAGAATTAATTAATATTTATTATATTTCATATATTTTTTTAAAAATATTTTTTTATTTAGATATTTGGGCCAAGCTCTAATTCGATCAGGTTTGGCCCGAATTTTTTCGAGTCTATTCAGGCCGGTCCAAACATTTAAAAAAATTATTATTTTTTCAAGCTTCACCTTAAATTTTTCAGATGGATTTAAGGTGATTTATTGAGTTTAACCTAAATTACTCAATTTAAAAATTAATAGTTGTGAGGGGTGTTCATGAGATGGGTCGGGTAATTGGATTATGGGTTTTAGTTGTAAACTTGTTACTGTCCCTCCGTTATAGCATATGTTTTAGGAATTTTGCATGGCCTTAAAAAAGGTATTAACAAGGTAATAGTGTTTTGTGACTGCATCAAGGCTGTCAACCCGATCTCCAGAGCCTGTGATCCTATCATTCTTAATTCAAACTTCAAAGATATAATTGATGAGACCTGGTTATTGTATTACAAGGATTGGAATGTATTCACGCCATTTTTGTTAATAATATTTTTTATCTAATTAAATTAAGACAACCAATTTTTAATATATTAATAATATTAATAACAACAGTTTATTATAGAATATAACTTTTGATCTCTACACTTTGTTCGCGTTTTACTATTGATCCCTGCATTTTTTTCAATGTTCTAAATCTTTATACTTTTATTTTTTATTATTTTAAGTTCCTTCATGAACAAAGTGTAAGGACTTTGGAGGAATTTAAAACAATGATAATAAAAATATAGAGATTTAGAATATTGAAAAAAGTGTAGGGATTAAAAGCAAAACATGAGTAAAGTGCAGGATCTGAAGTTATGTTTTTCGATAAATAATTTATATAAAATGAATAAATCTTGATTTAATTAGAAATAAACACTTTAAACATTTAAGTTTTCTCATAAAATAATTACTCAACTAACTTATATAATACATACTTATATAATACATTTATATATTATATTACATACAACCAAAAAATATTTAGAGAAAATATAATCAAGCCAAGCCTATAAACTTGATTTATTTGTTAAGCAAGGTAGGATATCGGTTGTTTGATAAGTTGGTTCGAGAATTTAATTTTGAGATAAATTTTTTTTAAACATTAATGAGTATCCTGAATTTAATTATTGCATGAATAGCATCATGAATTTTAAATTTTTAAAATGTGTAACTTTAATTTTTAAATTTTGAGTGCCAAAACCTTACTATTAAGTTGAATAAAAACTTTTATTTTTAAGAGTCAAAATGAGTGTCATATTAACGTGTAATTAAACTCTATAACTATAAAAATAATAATAATTTTCTCCAACCTAATGGCAAGATTTTAAGTGATCAAAATTTAAAAATTAAAATTTTTTTATAAATTTCAGAAATTTAAAATTTAAAATTCTATTTAAGTAATAATTTAAAATTTAAAATATTCATGAATATATAATTTTTTTTTTCAACAATATAAGAAGAGCACCTAGCAGGGCGCTGACGACGAGCAGCTTTGGCCTTTGGAGGGGGACCGTCGCGCACAAAGTTGTAGAGGGCAAGGCTGTGAGGTTTTTAGGCTTTCAAAGTGAAAAAGTACAAAAGGGAATAGGGTGGTAACAGAGTCGTGTTATACTTTGTCGTGTATATGGACTTATGCTATCTTATTTTATTTTTGATATCTATATATAGGTTGGGACAGGCTAGCCCATAGGCCATAACCCGTTTCACCTGTTTACAATTGACACCCGCTAGCACGTCCATGTAACTTTATACATTTTTTTACTAATGCATGGGAAATCGTTGATTCTTTTTACAAGGTAATATATGAGACATTCATTATATATTCTCTCCAGTCAGAAGTATAAAATTTTTTTAATTAAATTTCATTCTTTAATAAAATAATTATTTATTTTTATTTAATTTTATTTTTTATATTTATTCATATAAAACACTCTATAATAAATATAAAATTATTTATTAATGGAACACTTTTAAAAAAAATTATAATTATATTTCAAAAGATTAAAAACACCTTACATTTTTAGACATTTAATTTTTTAAAAAATATTTTATATTTTTAAATGCAGTGAGTTTTTTTTTATAAATGTCTCATATACTTGGTGGTTATTATAATTAAGTTTCACTATATATTAAAATTAAGGATGCTTTATCATAATATGATTCGTTCATTAATCTAGGATCTATAATACTTTTTTTTAGTTAAATCACTGTCAAACAATTTTTTTTAGTGATTTCTCATCCAAATTTAATTCTTTTGAAGAAGCTTATGATTTTTCAAATTTTCGATACTTTTGGCGAAATATTTCTGTTATTTGATTCTTTCAACCAATTTTCCCTGCTTATCCTTCCAGTCTACGTTAAAGTTTTTCAAAAACTGAAAACAACATTGTTTAAAAAAAATTAAAATAAAACTAATTTCCTTCCAAAAAATATTAAAATGAAGGGGAATAATAATAATTTGTCAGAAATTTGAAGGTTCAGCGAATTCTTGCATCGGAGTCGTAATTATATCATGGATTGGAGCAGCATAGTACAAGGACTAACAATCGCTCAGAACATGACAGACCAGCTTGTGATTCATCTATGGTCAAATATGCCAGATCAACGGTCCACGATTAATTTGATTTCTCCCCGCACCAGTGAAAGTTCTTAGAACGCAAACACGTGATAAAACAAAATTGAATCTGCAGTACTATTCTATCGCCACGTGGCACGAAATCAACGGCCACCCCCACTCCTCAACGGCCACTCTTTGTTTGTACCCGCTTGCATGGGCTCCTCCAACTAGCTAACTTATGCGCTTACTTCACATGGTTTTCACAGGGAGAGAGAAACAGAAAGAGAGAGAGAGAGAGAGAGAATCAGGTTTATTAGCAACAAGGAGAGGCCAGGATTGCTCACAAATCTTGAAAAGGGCTGAAACTTAAAACCCTTATCCTATCTTCTTCTTCGATACACCTTCTCGTATAAAAACTTCAATTCTCTCCCATTCTCTCTCTATAAATCCTCTTTTTCCTCCATGTTCTTTCTCTCCATTTCATTTCACTGATGAGCTTCCTTCATCGCTCCTATTCTTGATTGCGATGGTTTCTCTCAAGTGAGGTTTTGAGGTTTCTTCTTCTCTTCTTCTTCCCAATCGGATTTCCTTTCGTCTTGAAGAAAATGGCGCCGAGGACTGGGAGGGGGAAATCGAATAAAGCCAAGACAGAGAGGAAGAAGAAGGAAGAGAAAGGTTAGTAGGAATCTCTTTACCTGCAGATTTCAATGATGCTAATGCAGTGATGCTACCATGCTTTTTTTTTTTTCACTTTTTTAAATTTATTTTTTGGCTCATTAAGCAATTAAAGTTCACCTAATTTGTTTTCTTGTGCTATTTTAGCATCCGTGCCTTCTCTGGTGGACATTTATGTCGTCACTCCTTATGATTCTCAAGTTCTCCTCAAGGTTTATATTTCTTTATTTTCCTAAATCTAGATAAATTTAGTCTGTGAGAATAAAAATTTTAGTATTATTAAATCCTCCTTTGTTGGAAATTTTTCGAAGGGCATCTCTACTGATAAGATACTTGATGTGAGAAGGCTAATAGCTGTGAATGTGGAAACCTGCCATTTTACAAATTATTCTTTATCTCACGAGGTAGGTTTAATTCTGGACTTATTCATTGCAATGTTTTTTGTTTTTAATTAAATAATTACTTATTATTTATTCTCTGTAATATTTAATAAATTGGGTTGCAGCAACTGAAATTTGAAATGACTCAACTTCCTCTGTTAGGTTAAAGGGCAGAGATTGAATGACAGGGTAGAGGTTGTTGCTCTAAAGCCATGTATTCTAAAAATGGTTGAAGGTAGGTGCAGTTCATATACGCGTTATTCAGCATCAACCCTCATTAATTTCTCCCTTCTTTTTCATGAGATAATTTACGGATACTCTTGAAAATAATTATCACAAATTATTTTAAATTTTATAGTTGGTTGAAGAAAACCAAATACGTCCCATTAATTAAAATTTAGTAGTTGCTTCTTACGCTCTTCGGAATTCTGCTCATCCATAGTGACTCTTCATAGTAGTCAAATAGATGCAGAGGCAATAATCTAGGTCCTTTGATTCTCTTAAACTAGGTTTAATTTAAAGTATCTCATAAGATACCATCTCTTAGTCCTAAAGTATATATAAATTTTTTTCTTGTCTCATTTACTCTCACTTTAACCTTTTTCTTTTAGCTGAATCTCTTTTTTGCTGTTCTACGTATGCTTTTGTAACTGTTCGTCTCTTTTTCTATCACTTAGCATTTTACCCACAAAATGGCAAAACAACTGGGACGGATTGCTAAATTGATTGGTTTAAATTTTAATAAAAATTCTTGAACGAGACTTATTTAAATTTAAAGCCTTTAAAATTTTATTTCAGTCTAAATGTATTGATTTGATATTAAATTAAAAAAAATGATAAAATTATCTCTCATTTAAATTAAAATTAAAATTATTCTATTTCACTTATTCATTAACTTATGAAATGTTATTAATTGCTTAATTTATTTATTTATTTTTTTAAAATAAAATTAAATAAAAGTCTGACAATAAATAAATGAAATAAGACAATAAATAATTGTTTGTAAGTAAATGAATAATGTATATTATGGAAATCATTAAGTTATAGTAAGATAATTTAAACATTTAAATGAAATCAAGTCAAGTAGGGTTATGAAAAACATTTTATAAGTAGATTAACAAGTGAAATATAATAATGAACAAATGAAGTAAGAAAGTTTTGGTGTTAATTTAAATGAGAGGTAATTTTATCATTTATTTAAAAAATTTAATATCTAACCAGTACTACAATAAAATTTTAAAAATTTAAGAATTTTGAATTTAAATAATTATGATTCAAAGGTTTTTATTAAAATTTTTTAAAATGATTTCTGGAAGAAAACCATTGTTCCTGTTGCATGGATTGGAAAAGTAAAAACAAATCTTATATTCAACCTGCTGACATGTATAAACGATAAGTATATTTTTATCAAGTCATTTCCTAAAGAATCAAGTCTAGTTTCGTGTTGATCTCCACTTTATAGATCCGCCGCCCATGCTGGTCCCCTATGAGCTATTTTTAATTCATGGGGACTTGACGTAGATTTTGCTTAACATTTTTTGTGGCTTTTAAATTATTTTAATCAATTCTTCAAATGTGGAGATCGTGTTTTCGGTTGAGGGTTGTTGTGGGGTTACGCATACAGTCCATCCACCTCTGTGGAAATAATAATGCTTTCTGTCTTTTATCGATGAGGTCAAGGCCTCAAGATAGTATTTCGATTAATTACTATGGTCTCCCGTCTCCGTGACGATGGTCCTTCCCCCTCGTGGAACTCAACATTTTAATTACTCAGACTTACCACACGTTTCTAATTTTTTTTAGCCAAAATATTACCCGGTTTTAATAATAATAATAATAATATATACATTGCTTACAATGTAGGCGATACTGTTTCAGCCTGTCAGAAATATTTGTCCTTAAACAAGATTTTGGAATTATAATAAATGAAATCAAGCTTCATAGTAATTTATGCGAAACAAATTATTTACTTCTGTGATTAATATTTAAATTTAATATTTAACAATAAACTCTATTGTAGAATAAGACCAAGTGTTTTTTATCCGTAATTTATGAAGCAAATCATAGACTCGTCGTTTAGTGATTTTTTTTTTAACTTTCTTTTTTTTTCTGTTGGAATTAGAACAAGTCATTATCTGAATTTTTTACGTCAATGCCATTTTTGTAGAGGATTACATAGAGGAAGCCCAGGCTATTGCACAAGTGAGGCGACTCTTGGATATCGTGGCCTGCACATCCAGGTTTGCGAAGCCTAGACGGGCCTTGACAAGCCCAGACTCCAAAGCTAAGAAAAATAGTAAGGCCCAACAAAATCAGAAGCATAATTCGGGCCCACCAACTACGCCCAATGGGGAATTCCAGATCGGATCGCCGGTCACGGTTTCGCCGATCTCCGATAATATAGGCATGGTAGCCATTCATCCCACGCCGAAGCTTTCAGATTTCTACGAGTTCTTCTCTTTCTCTCATCTGTCTCCTCCGATTTTACGTGAGTATTCCTTTACTTCGGTTTCCTAGAGGCTTTCTTTTTGGGCCTTTTTATTTTTTTTTGGTTGAAAATTTCTTGGCCTTTTAGTTTGATATCATTTTAATTTAATTTAATTTTAAGTAAAATACATATATTTTTTCAATTTAAAATGAAATTAAAAAATAATTTTTTCAATTCAAATTAAAAAATAAATACTTATTTTTAAATTTTTATTTATAATTATATAATTTTTAATTTTTAAAATAATATTTTAATTCTTTTTTATTTTTTTATGTTTTCAACAAAAATATAGAAAAAAATATAATTTTAACAAAATTATCGAATTTTGGCAACAACAAATAAAAAATAACGGATTGGTCTTCCGATGATTTTATATTTGTATTTTTATTCTCTTCTGATCTCAATCTATTAATTAGTTATAATTATAATATATAATTATATTTTAGTTTACCGTAAAATATTATAATTTATGACTATAATTGAGATTAATATTTTTATTCTAGTCTAAAATTAACAAACGTTTTGTCTCGTTTTAAAATTTATTCACCGATTCACCTGTAACGCTGAAAAATAGTTTTCCCTAAAAGTGAATAAAAAATAAAAACCATCGGCTTCAATTTAATCTAGATGTGATAATGGTGTTGGGAAAAAAAAAAATTTAATGGATAGTGATGGATAATTAAGATTTTTTTTTTTTGGGGTGGGGGGAATTTGATGTGTAGTGATGGTTAATGGAGATTGGAGATTATGTTTGATGAAGTCGTGATTTTTGCTGCATGGCTGATCTTTTGCAGACTTGAAGAGATGTGAACTGAAGAATCAGGATGATAGACGCAAAGAAGATTACTTTAAGCTTCAGGTTGCATATCTTTTACTTGTTTTGTATCTGATAATTTTGGCCTCCTTTCCTTGAATGCCAGACGTGGTCTAAAGTTAATGACTAAAGTTGCTATTGCTACGTGCAGATTAAAATCGGCAACGGGAAACTGATAGAAGTGATTGCATCAGAAAAAGGGTTTTATAATGTGGGGAAACAGTTTCTTCAGAGCCATGCTTTAGTTGATCTTCTGAAACAGCTCAGCCGAGGTTTTGCTAATGTATGTTTCTGACCAATGTTATTTTACCATGGCAGATCATCATCTGAAAAGCAAGTAGTTGGATTTTTTCTTGTGACACTTGCTATGACTGACTAATGCAGGCATATGGATCTTTGATGAAAGCATTTGTGGAGCATAATAAGGTGGCACTTCATATCCAACTGAAAATAATTTGTTTTCAATTTTTCCCAGTAGACACTTGTGCATTTTCTAATATCATTACACCTTCAGTTTGGTAATCTTCCATATGGATTTCGAGCAAATACATGGCTTGTTCCTCCATCTGTTGCCGAGAGTCCTTCCAATTTTCCTGCCCTACCTACTGAGGACGTAAGCTGGGGTGGTAATGGCGGTGGCCAGGGTAGAAATGGTGAATACAATCTTAGACCATGGGCTACAGACTTCGCAATATTGGCTTCTCTACCTTGCAAAACCGAAGATGAGAGGGTGGTCAGAGACAGAAAAGCTTTTCTGCTTCACAGTCTATTTGTCGATACCTCCATATTTACAGCTGTTGCAGCTATAAGACAGGTCATAGAGTCAAACTCCAATGGAAATAGCAAATTGCATTGTTCCCCGGACTCAATCCTGCATGAAGATCACTTGGGGGACTTGTCCATTGTAGTCAAACGTGATATAGGAGACACAAATCATAAGTATGATATGAAACTTTCTAGTGGGGAGTCCACAGTGTTTAAAGAAGGTGCTCAAAAGAATTTACTCAAAGGGTTGACTGCAGATGAAAGTGTAATTGTCCGTGTAAGTCATTATCCTGTTTACCAGATTATCTATTTTTCTATCTATCTATCTTCACATTGACATCACTCGACAAGTAACAAAACATGTCTACTTTCATCTCCTGTTGTTTTTTCCATGTGTGAATAGTCAGACATCAACATTAAATTGTGTTTCCATTCTTATTTTTTGTTTAGAAATTCAAGCCATTGTTCTTCCACATCAATTGAGAAGTATTTTTTATCTCTACGACACATGGTTGAATTACATCGACTCTTAACAAGTTGAAATTTTGAATTAAGGGTTCAAAAGCTAAACTTGGTGTTCTCAAAAATTAAAGACATTAGACATGTAAGATGAGCTTTATTTTTCTTTTTAAAGATATCCAATAATTTCGACAGGATACTTCTTCTTTGGCCGTGGTTGTTGTACACTACTGCGGATACGTTGCAACGGTAAGTGTGGTGGGCAAGGGTAACATTAACACAAGGAAGCCTGAATTTCAAGATATTGAAATCGATGATCAGCCAGGTGGAGGGGCAAATGCGCTCAATGTCAATAGGTTTGAACCATTAGCTATTATTACTTATTTTTTTTATAATCTGATTTTGCATGCATTTCAGATATTATATTTTACTGAGCGAGAAAATTTTCCTTCCTCTATATTGATACGGTTAGTTTGGTAATTATAGTAATTCAAGGGCAGGCATCAATACATGTTACTAGTAGTATAATACTAATGATGCCAGCCATCAGAGACATGTATTTACTTAAAAATACTCAAGGTAGAGCTATGCTGCTTTTGGGTGGCAGAAGTTCCCCTTTTCCTTAAACGGAAATTTGAAACTTTGATTTTTGATTTTTTATTTTTTATTTTAAGGATTAGAGGGCCAGGCACTAAAGGCTTGATGTTACAAGTAGGATTGAACCTGAGACCTCCCACTTATAGGAGAATTTACATGCCACTAGGCTACAGGCCATTGGCAAAACTTTGAATCTTACTTGCTTCATAATTTATATTTGTTTGGCACCACAATTTTCCATGTATTTTTCTCTTTTACTTTCTAAGGAGAAAAGTAACAGAACAAGAATATGTCGACCCAAACCTCTTCATAGTCTTCATTTTTTTCATTGCTATTTATTTCAGTAAGCTGTTTTACATTTAAGTGTCATCTTTCAACTGAATGAATGAGTTCTTTACAGCTTGAGGCTACTGCTTCACAAGTTTGGAGCTGAGCCATCTGAAGGGAGATCATCACTACCAAATTTGGATGATTTAGACTCTTCCAGAAATCTTGTTCGGAAGGTGGTTAAAGAAAACTTGGAAAATAAAAGTGAGGAGCCAGTTAATTCAGAAAGTTCTATTCGGTGGGAACTCGGTTCTTGTTGGTTGCAACATCTGCAAAAGCAGGAAACTTCAACAGATAAAAGTTCTGAAAAAAAGGACAACGGCAATGAAGTTGTACAAGCTGTCAAAGGTCTTGGAAAGCAATTCAAATTTTTGAAGAGGAGGGAAAAGAAACCAACTAGTTTAGATTGTACAGACCATAGGGAGCATAATGACTCTAGACCTTCTGCTGCGGCAACTGTTAAAGCTGAATTAAACAATGATGACTTAAATAGCTCCACTGAATTGGAGAAACTAACTTCAGTAGAAGCATTTTTGCGACTGAAAGAATCTGGAACTGGTCTGCATCTAAAGGTTTGTGAAACATTTTGAACTGGTCTGCATCTATAGTCTCTTCTGCTGCTAACTATTTGGCTTTTTCTTTCTCTCTCTGGAATAATTTTGTATCTCTTTTGTCATTCTCATTTACTTCAGTTTTATTATCCTCATACTTAGCTTTCTTTTGTAAAATATGATATGTTGGATTTTGTTATACCAAATATGCTTATGTTACAACATCAGCTTTTTAATACTTACTATTTGAATTTCTCCAAACAGACAGTTGATGAGCTTATCAACATGGCACACAAGTACTATGACGAAATTGCCTTGCCAAAGCTGGTAATATCATATTTTAGTTGGAGTACACATTTTATAACTAACTAATATGAAACTTAAAGACGTCGTTGAAGAAACTGTATGTCTTATTTTTATAGGTTACAGACTTTGGATCACTTGAGCTTTCTCCAGTTGATGGCCGTACACTAACTGATTTCATGCATTTAAGAGGATTAAAGATGCGCTCCCTTGGTGAAATAGTAAGAATTATTATCTCTTCTTCCTTTCACCCTCTACTAACATCATTGCAAAATGAAGATGTGCCTTCTGGGTCTGGTAATGTTTCCTCGAGGCTCCACCTTCAATACATTTGTTACGATAGATGTGAAAAAGCCTAAGCCTTAGCTATTACAATTTTAAAGCTATTATTCTAGTCTAAGTCATGCTGCCAATTTTATCTTTCTTTGGTTCTAATTTCTTGTTTAATTCAGGTTAAACTTGCAGAAAATCTTCCACACATACAATCTCTTTGTATTCATGAGATGGTTACTCGAGCTTTCAAGCATTTACTCAAAGCTGTGATTGCCTCAGTTGATAATGTAGCAGACTTATCTCCTGCTATTGCATCAACACTGAATTTCTTACTTGGAAGCTGTCAATTGGAAAATGCTGACCAAAGTTTGACTGAAGACAATCATCTCAGATTGCAGTGGCTAAGGGTATATTTAATCAAAAAATTTGGATGGACATTAAATGATGAATTTCAACATTTGAGGAAGTTATCAATCCTGAGAGGGCTTTGTCATAAGGTATCACAGATTTGACTTCTCGTGCATATATTATTCATACGATGTATTCATTAATTGAATTTTGGCCAAAAAATAATTAAATTTTATGTTTTCCTAGGTTGGAATGGAGTTGTTCCCAAGAGATTATGATATGGAGACCCCCAATCCATTTGGGAAATATGATATTATCAGCCTAGTTCCTGTTTGCAAGGTAGGATCTTGTCTCTCTATCAGCCCCTTTCCCAATATCAAGCCAGTTATATGTTTGATCCAATAATTATTATATCATTTATCACCAATAACATTTTGTTCAATAGTTCGTAGGATGCTCCTCAGCAGATGGACGCAATTTGTTGGAATCATCCAAAATGGCTCTTGATAAAGGAAAGCTTGAGGATGCTGTGAATTATGGAACAAAGGTACCAATTATTTTGTTCATTCTGTAGATGAAGCAACATTATATGGTTCATGATTAAAAGGATCTAGTAGTTGACCTTGTTAGCCATCCATATTGCAGGCACTGGCAAAGATGATGGCTGTTTGTGGTCCCTATCATCGAACTACTGCAAGTGCTTATAGTCTTTTAGCTGTGGTTCTCTACCACACTGGAGATTTTAATCAAGTAAAGATAAACTTGTATTCTTATGCCCCGGCTATTTTAGAAATTTTGATGTGTCTATGGCTCTGCTTAGGCCGAGATTATTCTTTATAATTGTTTCTTAATTGCAAAGGAAGTTTATGACTTGATTCCTGCCAAAAAGATAACAAAGCAAGAAATGAACAACAACAAAAATGTAAATGTGCCTCTGCATCCATCATTCATCACGGTTGAGGAATGAGAAGCCTAAATATTCAAATTATTCTATGGAGTTGTATTGATCTGTGTTGAATCTTGAGCGAGACGATTTTAGATTGACCAGTTGTTTATATCAAATTTTGATTACCTTTTTCCTTGTTTAGGCAACCATATATCAGCAAAAGGCCCTGGATATAAATGAGAGGGAACTTGGGCTTGACCATCCAGACACAATGAAAAGCTATGGGGATCTCTCTGTCTTTTATTATCGTCTGCAACACATGGAGCTGGCTCTGAAGTAAGATAAAGTGACTACGTTGTACTAGTGTTATTTCCTAGGCGACGACTGTCTATTGATTCTTATAAATCTGACGAAATTCTTATATTTGTATATTTTCAAATCCCTTTAATTCCATCACCATTATGACTAATTAACCAATTGCTCAGATACCCCTCATTAGTTCACTACTTATCATTGGCCACTTCTTTTAATGTATCCTTTGGCAGGTATGTCAACCGTGCTCTCTTCCTTCTTCACTTCACATGTGGTCTATCTCATCCGAACACAGCTGCAACATACATAAATGTGGCTATGATGGAAGAGGGTATGGGAAATGTTCATGTGGCACTCAGATATTTGCATGAAGCTCTTAAATGCAACAAAAGATTGCTAGGAGAAGATCATATCCAGGTCTGCCTCCTTCTCTTCACTTATTTCTCTGAGAATATTACATGTCCCCTTCCCTTATGGCTGGCACAAAGTTTTTATATGATGTTATTCATGTTTTAGACTGCCGCAAGCTTCCATGCCATTGCCATAGCTCTTTCATTGATGGAAGCATATTCCCTGAGTGTACAACATGAACAAACGACCCTTAAGATACTTCAAGAAAAGCTTGGACCTGAAGATCTTCGTACACAGGTCATTATTTTTCTTAAGGTTTTGAATTTTAATGGGGTATTTATAGTTGAGGAATTTATAATTTGACAATTGTCTCGGAGTGAACTAAGAAGGGCTTCCCCCAATAAGGGAGATGATAATTGATGTTTAGTGTTACCTATCTTTTTCCCCAATGCAGGATGCTGCTGCATGGCTCGACTATTTTGAATCAAAAGCAATAGAGCAACAAGAAGCGGCTAAAAATGGAACTCCAAAGCCAGATGCATCCATTGCAAGCAAAGGTCACCTTAGGTACTGATATGGTACTGAAATAGTACACTTGGTTTCAAATGGAATTTTAAATTTCTGGACGCAAAAATAAGATACCATTTTTATGCAGTGTATCAGATCTTCTGGATTTTATTAATCCTGAACAAGAGCCAAAAGGAAATGACACTCAGAGGAAACCGCGGCGTGCAAAGGTGAGCAAATACATTTCTATGTGTTATTTTTCTTTTATATATATATATATATAACGCATGTTTTCCATCTTGAGTTCGTATGTAACCCGCTGATCCCTATGGTTCTGATTAAATTCATATCATGTGCTTAAGATATGGAGGAGTAACTTATTTTTCCTCGCTAAAAATTGGTCCTTGATTTCCCTAGCCTCAGGGCCCCTTTGCTTTCCTTTAATTACTTGCCTTGATAGAGTACGTAATGTTTTTGCTTGTTGCAAGTTAAAATTGGATTGCATTCAAAATATTATATTCTTCCGGAGTTTTCTTGAAATTCTTTATACGTAGCAGAATCTCAAAAGAAGATGCATTCTGAATGTAGTGTCATCTTAACTTATTACTGATTTGACACTTGTATGTTTTATATGTGATGTAGCAGATACACCCAATAATTGATAAAAGCCAAGAACACGATGATTCAATAGCTGACGAGAACATTCCATTTCATGGCTCAAAAGATGATAAGAGTGTCGAAGAAGGCAACGTTCAAGAAACAAAAGTCATGCTTCATTCTAAAGAACTGAAAAAAAATGGTGAATTCACCAGGTATGTGCATGAGACAAGTGAAGTTGTTGAGGAAATATCCTCCGATGAAGGGTGGCAAGAAGCCAGTTCTAAAGGGCGGTCAGGAAACACAGCCAACCGCAAGTATGGTAGGAGGAGACCTCTTGTTGCAAAGCTGAAGATTAATAGCTCTGAGAATTACATAGTCAGAGAAAGCAGTTACAGGAATGACATTACATCACCGCATAAAGGGACTCCAAAAAACACTTCAGTCACACCACTTTCACCTGGACAATCAAAAGCTAGAAGCTTCACTTTAAAAAATGAACCTTTCAATAATTCAACAAGAGCTTCGGTTTCCAAAACTTCCTCTACTCCTGCAGCTCTTAGTCCCTTGGCTTCAAAGTCTATATCTTACAAAGAAGTGGCTTTGGCACCACCAGGTACTGTTTTAAAGCCCCTGCTAGAGAAAGCTGAAGTAGACAATGTAAATACTGAAACCGAGAAGTGCAACAAAGTTGAAGAAAGCTGCCAAAATTCTATTGCTGAAGCAGTTTCTGAGCAAGATAAAAAGGAGGCGACCTGTGAACCTGACATTCAAAGAGAAGATTCTGCATCAGAACTTGAGGATCGGTCCCTCTCTTCTGATCAGGCAAAAGCTGCAGAAACCAATGGTAGTAAGCTTTCAGCTGCAGCCGAACCATTCAACCCAGGAATGTTGTTTATGCCTCACCATATAAACTCGGTTCCCATCCCAAACATTTATGATGCAAATGCTCGTCAAGGCATGCTTGTGGATCCCGTGCTTCCTCCTGTTGCTGCTAGGGTCCCCTGTGGGCCCAGATCACCTCTATACTATAGAACCAACTATACTTTTCGCATGAAAAACGGTCATTCAAAAAATCACACTCCGATCGGGGAAAGAAGTGGATTTGAGGCTCCAAGAATCATGAATCCTCATGCACCCGAGTTTGTTCCCAGAAAAGCTTTGCAAACGGAGACCAATGACGCCAATTCCTTTGAATCAAGTATGGTAGAAAACAACAACGTAGATGAAAAAATGAGCAAGGATTTGAAGGGAAGTTCCCCAAGAAAGCGTGTTTCTGGATCTGAGAAGTCAGAGTTGGCTCGGCAGATACTGCTTAGCTTGCTGGTGAAATCAGTTCGGCAAAATATTGATTCTGTCGATGAATCCAAAGTCAGTGACGAAAAAAGCGAGAACTTGGAAAACTCTTCTGATGCAGTAGCCAAAGACAGTGCTATTATAAAAATCCTGTATACCAACGAAGAAAAAAGTAAGATGACTCCCCTGTCAAACGGAAGGGAAGAGCAAGAAAACATAAATGTAACCAATAAAAACATCGGAGATGAAGGGTTTATAGTTGTCACTAGGAAAAGAAAGAGCAGGCAGAAGTTCACAAAAGGAGTGTCAGATTTGTGCAATCAGCAGTCCATCTGTGCTTCAGTCCGTTGAATAGTTGTTAAACGGCATTCCCAATAAACCAATAAGTTCTCTATACTCTCTAACAATGTATGAATCCATGGTTTACAAATTTTGGCCCTTGATGCCCGGTGCATTTTTTTCCCTGGTCAGTTTAGGAGGCTCCTTGAATCTCCACTCCATAGTCCTTACAGTAAAATGTTCCTCAAGATATTTTGTTTTATCAATAAAAATCCAATTGGCAAGATCACTTTATTGGTGGCAGTAATAGGTGCCATGGGAACGGATTGCCTCTGCTTAGTGAAGAGAGTAATGCAGTTGTTGGCTATCAAATTAAATTTGATTATTCAAATTCAATAGTTTTTTGAAAGTAAAAATTAATCTATACCATTAAAATTTGATTAAACAGTTCAAAACCACAGAGAATCAGTGAAGAGAAGTGGAGAAAAATCAAGTTCCTGATTTGTCTCATCTGGATTTTAGTTGTTGCTTGCTGCATTGCCTTCATGCTTAAAAAACAAAAAGAAAAGAACCAAACTTTCAATGTTGGTGTGTGTGTGTGTGTTCTACTCAAAGTGGGTTGGGGGGGGGGGAATAATTAATGGATCATTGTTGATATTATTTGTTACTTGTGGATTAGACACAAGGAAGAGAGGTATATTAGAGAATCATTGAATAAACAATTTGGCTAATAAAGTTGGGACACATCACATCCAAGTTGGTTAGAACCACTGCATAGTGGAGTGCAGTGGCTTGAAGATGAAAATATAGAGGGCAATGATTATGATCATAATGGTGCATTATGAGATTTTTGGACTTTGGAACCGTAGCTAGATTCTCTTCAACGTTGTTTTTCAAAATTGACGCACAGAAAAACCAACAAAGTTGTTGAAGTGGTTAGTTTATCATGTATTTCATATATCCTTCAGTGTTTTAAAAAGCACATTAGACCGCGAACTAAAAATATTAATGATTCACAGTTTTTATGATCCAATTAGTTAAATAAGTAGTTAAGCTGGTGACACAATAAAAATAAGAGAAAATAGCAATCAAGAACCGTTGAAGCAAATTTATATCAATCAAAAATTATTTATTGTCAAAACCTGAATGACTATTTGTTAATTTGGGTTAATCTTTTATTAACAAGTATACATTCAGGTTTTAATAATAAATTATTTTAAATTAATAATAGTTCATTCTTATTTTTTTCATTTGAGTTTTGACAATAATTGACTCTTAACTAATTTAAATTTGCTATAGCGATCCTTAATTGCTATTTTCACTAAAAATAAAAATAATATTATATGCATATACAACAATATAAATATGAAAATGTTAAAAAAATGTGCAAAAAAGAATCAGCATCTGCCGTATGAATTATTAAAAAATATAATAATTGAGTATTTGAAATTTTTGGTTTAGGTTTAACCCACCCAATATTGTCATTTAATTTTGGAATTTGGATTTTAAAAAAAATCAAATTGGTTCCACCCGGTTCGGTTCATGATCTAACAATGGTTCCTAGTTCAAACCGACCCAACCTTTTGAATGGTTTTTTTGAATAAAATTAAGCCATTATGTCATCTGGCTGATAATCCAACAAGTTGGACTGTCCAATTTTTAAAACACTAATTTCCTTTCTCAAATTTAAATATTAATTTAATTATATATTGTATAGTTCCGGCAATGGTCTAGAATTATGTTTTCACCTCAAATATGAGATTTGTTACTACTATAACCCTCCAATTTTAAAATGAAACATACACTAACATCTCATTTGGATGGAGAGAAAAATAAGGATGAAGAAACACTTGAGGGAAAACTTCTAAAATTAGTACAAACTTTTTTTTAAAAAAAAATTATCTTCATAGTTTCCTCTCCTTCCTATTTTTTCTTCACTTTTCTCTCATCCAAACCAAGCTTAAGGAAGAAAATAGTTCTGTGTTTTCTCCATTTGATAACATATCACTATCCAAGTGAATACATATGAAGTTGAGATTGTTAAAGTGTATTAATATTATAATCAATTTTGCACGTGGATGAGCATAATTAATAACAGTTCGGCTTATCTATGTCCAAAAAATCTGAAGTCAACTGGTGTCCAATAGAGGTATTTTCACCATCTTTATTTGTATTTTTTGGCCTGAAGATCACAGCATTGTTTTCCTATTTAAAGCATGTAACCTTAGATTAAAAACTAAAAATAAAAGCATATAGCCATATTAAAAACTAAAAATAAAAGCATATAGCCATATAACCACAAATTATATGAGAATGAGAAAATCTGATATTTTTCAAACGACGGTAGACTGTAGACATGTCCCTTTCAAAGAAAAAAATCTATGTGCTTTTTGCTTCTTCTTGTTTTTTCGTTTTTTGTTTTACTCTCTCATTAGTTTCAATGGAAAGTCAACAATGCCATTATGTGGAAGGACTTTTTTTGCTGCGTGCCTTTATTAGTGCTTCATTATTTTTCCTCTAAATGATTGCCATACAATAATAGCATTCACAAAATGAGGATGACTTAATAGCTTTATTTGATTATTATTGTCAAACATCATTTTTATAACATAAACTATTAAAGAATTAATTTAATTTTAGGCTCAAAAAAGGATCAATTTTATTCAAGTGGTTTGAAAGACATAGATTATAGAAAAACAATGACTAAAGTGATTAAGGGATTATTTGACAATATGTTCTAAGAACAAACTGTTCTTCAAAATAAAAAAAATTATTTAGTAACATATTTTTAGAAAATATTGTAGAGAATAAAAAAATCAAATATTGTTCTGAAAGATAAAAAATAAAAATATCTTTTAAGTATTATAGAATTATTGTTGTGGAAAAATAAGGGAGAACACAAAAATAACTATTTTCATTAATTTTTATTAATTTTTAAAACAATAAAATAAAAATAATTTTAAATGAACCCTAATTTTCTTATATTTAAGATTAAGAATGGAATCTACCTGAAAATGAAAGGAGAGAATAAATGAGAAAGAGTAACAAAAAGATGTCATATTTTAATAATAAACTTCAAAACTTGAGCTTATGCGTTACTTTCTTTCATTATATATTAGTTATTTTTATATCATCTCATGTCCACTAAGATAATGTTATTAATAAACTTAGCTCCCTATTTCAACCAAATTGTCAAAGACTAGTTTTGCTTGAGACATGAAAAGTGTGAACGGATCATAAATTTAAATTTTAAGATTTTGATTTAAAATGAGATATTTTTCACTACTCTTCACTTATTAATTAGTTTTCTTCCAATTGTTAACAAATAGCATTAGAATTGGTTTTCGCTCATGACCTAAAAGCCTATATCGCGCACATGTTTGAACTCAAAATGGGATTAGCCCTAGCTACAACATGTATGTTACAACATTTAAAGTTCCAAAATGGGTTTGGCCCTATTTTCAAAAGCCATAGAGACTTAATGTTTGTAACATTTTTGACATGAAAGGGCATATGGACTCATATTTAAGGGAAGAATTGTTTAAATATTTAAATGTGAGTGGATTTAACTTGATGTGGGACACCCACATCAAATAAAGTTGAACTCAATAACTAATATATAATATAAAAAAAATCTATTTATACTTGAATTTTTGAGTTAAAATATTATGTATTTTAATTTTATTTTGTTAATTACTAAGTCTAACTTTATTTAATATAAAACATTTCACATCAAAATCCAATTACACTCACAACCTAACACCTGGAAAAGGGAAAATGTCACGAATTAATACTCTACATATGTTTTTTTAGTTAATTAATTGCATAAATTCAAATGCTTTTCCATCAGCAACATCCAATTATTGAAAAAAGTTGTGAAAGGAAAAGGATGGAACCGTTCATATTTAATGTGAACAAAATGTCATTTCATTACATTGACGTGTTTCTAAAAATCTCAAAATCTTTAATAGGTTTCGTGTAACTCTTTTTTTAGAGGAGCACAATTAGAGAAAATATGTTTCATTTTTTGATATGGAGATAATATATTTTCTGATTCACTTTTAATGTTAAAAGGGCTTTAATCTCTTGTAATCTGGACCCTTTATTCAAACAAATTATTCTTCACTTTCCAGACCGAAAGAAATTATTATTCACCTTAACCTTTACTGTGAAATTTATCAACTACTATATATAATTTCATGAACATAAAATATCAAACATCGTCATTTCTAATTATATACAAATATACATAAAATAATTTCAATATATAATAAAATTTACAATATGATAACTATTTACCCCTTATAAATAAGAAAAAAATATAAATTTTAATACATAAAATAATTTCAATATATAATATAATTTACAACATGATAACTATTTACCCCTTATAAATAAGAAAAAAATAAATTTTAATTATTGAACTTTTTCTCAATTATCAATATTGTCCCTAAACTTTAACACAAAACAATTTAATTTCTATAATTTCTTAGCTTGGAACAATTTAGTATTTATAATTTTTGTATTCAGTACAATTTAATTTTTATAATCCCTCAACTTAATAAATCACAAACACTACGAATTACTGAGTCAAAGTTTAGAATCTAAAGTGAAAATTAAAATAAAATTAAAAGATTAAAAGTTATATTTTTTCTCAATTTTATTGTACTTCACTAAAAATTGTATATAATAAATTATGTTAGCGAGAATTAATAAATAATATAACTCATTTCTCAATATCTAAATATGTCTAGTTTTTATACATATACATTTTTTTTCATTACTCATAGGTATTATTCTAGTAGAGACAATCATATTTGAGATATATTCAAATATTAAATATTAAATGTAGAAGCATCTTACATACCAACATCTATACATGCATTACTATTTTGTTTTTTGAACAGTGAGCACTCTATCTACATTTATCAATTAACCTCCGTATATTACAAAGGAATATCAACAAAAAAAAAGTAACTAATATAAAGAATATGAATGGATCTAGAAAGTCAATTTGAATACTTAGGATCCTTTTTTCCTCTAGACCACAATATAAGGTTAAAAATCTTACTTAATTCAAAATACATAGTATTATAGGGCGTTAGGTAGTTTTTTTAATTATTTTTTCAACTTTATCTATGATTTATTTATTACTCTTTTTTTAAAAAAATTGATATAGTAGAATTTCAATTATCATTATTAAGGTACTTATATAAAATATTTAATAAGAGTATAATTAGAAAGATTTAAAATTTTTTAAGATATTAAAGGTTCACCTAACTTTTTTAA